CCTTCTGTCATGTTCTAGCCTTCCTCTCACGCCTTGCGCACCACACAATCACGCGCATTCCACACGACAGCGTCGCCGAGTGTACACGTGGCAGGCCCCACCGCTCTCGTGTTTGGCTGCGTGCCAGCCCCACTCATACAGACCGTTCGCAGCAGCCCCAACGTCGAGGTGAGCACACCACCGCTTGCGTCAGATGGTGGGTGTGGTGGTGTCGGAGATGGCTGGCGCGAAGTATGGACCTTTGCGCTCCAACATAGCCATGTCATCGAACCGTTACCTTGACTCACGCACACGCACGCGCACGCACGCACGCACACACGCACGCACGCATGCACACATGCATGCACACATGCATATACAGGAGCGGCTGAAGGCGCTGAATGAGATACAGCAGCAACATTTCGAAGGCCTGACGACGGGCACACACGTGCTGCCCCACCTCAAGCAGCTGCTGTCGTTCTTGTGCACCTTGATGCAGGATGTCAACCTCAAACTCGTCGTGGCCGCCATGGAGGTATCCATCTCGAGACACACCGTCACGAGCACCACACCTTGTTCTGACAAACGCGCGCGCGCATATATACACACACACACACACTCGCATGAACTCACCCACACACCCACACACACACACGCACGAACACTCGCATGAACTCACCCACGCACGTATGCACACACACACACACACACACACACACACACACACACACACACACACACGAACACTCGCATGAACTCACACACACACACACGCGCCCTTCTCCCCTGGTCCCCAATCCTCCCTCAGGCCACGGGTGTGCTTGTGCGGAAGCTTGGCTGGCCCATCCGCAACCACCTTGACCTGCTGGTGGACAAACTCGCCACTCTCCTTGGCGACAACAAGATTGTCGTCCGCCAGAGCGCAGCGCGTCTCATCAACCGCCTCATGCACACGCTCACGCCCGCGCCCGTGCTGCACATTCTGCTGAAGCACCTCGACACGGGCGGCTGGCGCGTGCGAGAGGAGGTCATCAACATTGTCATTGTCGCCATGTCAACGTTCATGCCAGACCGCTTTGACTTTGAGCGCCTGACAACGCTGCTTGTGCCCGGGCTCAAGGACAAGCGCTCCCGCATCAAGTTTGTCACCATTGAGGCGTTTGCTGTCATGGCGAGCGTGGTGGGCAAGGAGCGCATGTGGGCGCTGCTGTCTGCGTACCAGATGGACAGCGGTGTTCGCGATTCGCTTCGTGAGCGCCTCGACACCGCGAACGACCTCCCCTCAATCACAGATGACGGCATGGTGTGTGTGTGTGTGTGTGTGTGTGTGCGTGTGTGTGTGTGTGTGTGTGTGTGTGTGTGTGTGTGTGTGTGTGTGTGTGTGTGTGTGTGTGTGTGTGTGTGTGTGTGTGTGCGTGTGCGCGTGCTTGTTTCGGTTGTGTTCGCTTGTTTCGGTTGTTGTTTGTCTGTTGTCTGTTTATCTGATTGTGCTTCATGTTTCGTCCACTTGTATTCCCCCACTCTCCTTCCCTGCTTCCACCCACCACCACTAGTTCTGCTCACCACACAATACCATCGCTTCCCGTGCCCCCCTTCCAAACCGCTACGCATCACTCTGCCTGCAGGTGCACCACACCAACCTGGACGGCGGCCGCGAGTCCCGTGCAAGCAGCGCCACCCCGCACTCCCTCACCAGCACTGCGCGCATGCCCTGGCTCGCCACCCCCAACAGCCGCGGCGACCAGATGCTCGACGTGTCTCTCCCGCCCTCAAAGGCGCCAAGCATGTCCTCCCTGCACCCGGCGCCCGGCGCCGCCACAGACGTCGCCGCCGTTTTTCGCTCAACTCACGTGGACGAGGCCTGGTCGGAGGAGCAGCTGGACCGTGAGTCCGCCCCGCCGTCAAGTAACTCCTACGCGCGCATGCACCGCAACAAGCTTGCAGGCAAAACGAAGTGAGCTCACGTGTGTGTATTTGCATAGAAACTGGACTTTGCTTCAGCCCCCACAACTGACCATGACTAGCACTCACTCACTCATACTTACTCACTCACTCACTCCCAGGTCCTCGTCCTCGTATGCGTCGTGGGCGCGGCGGTCAAAGAAGCTCAAGCACAAGACGTCGTCGTACAGCTACGCGTCTCGGCCCGACTCGTTTCTCTCGGACATGTCCAGCGCACCGTCCTCTGCCGCCAGCAACACGCCCTCCATCAGCGGCGCCTCCTCAAAGGGTGCGGGCTCGCTCACTCGTTACTGCCGACTGGCAAGAGAGGGAGATAATGCGGGTATTTAATGTCCTCCTGTGATGTTCAAATGTGCTTGCACCTGCACTCTCAAACGCACATTTTCATTCCCATATTCACACAACACACTCATCCACTGCCCCCACCCCCTCCCCTACACACCACACGACAGGCAAATCGCGCAAGAAAATTCCCTTTGTTGACAGCCGGATTGCGCGGCCGGACAGCAGGTCCGCCCCACCATCTGCCACATCAACCACGTCCACCAACACAACCATCACGACGGCATCCATCCCCCACGCGCGGCACGGCCGGCGCTCTCCTCGCAGGTCGCCGTCCAAGACTGTCGGCAAGGCGGGCAGCTATGCAGCAACACACTCCCCAACAGGCGGCGCCAAACGCAGCAAGGGCACAACGTCGAGCACAGCCACGACGACCTCAACTGCTGTTGGCTCAGACCCGTCATCGCGCAGCCGCCGCGGGCGCCCCACCAACACGCTGCAGGTCGCCGCTGCCGACGGGGGCAAGTTCGCCCGAAACCGCTCTGACAGCCGCATCCTGATGGACGCGGAGTGCGGGCGGGGGTCGCCCAAGGACGCGCTGCCCTCCACATCGCGCTCGTGGGATCCCAAGCGGCACGGGCACGCGATGGTCGACAGCATTGGCGGCGATGGCGGCGACGAGCCAGACCGCATTGAGCTGAGCGAGCCGAAGCAGAAGCACCGACCCGCGTACATGCCGCAGACGATCATAGCGCGAAGGCCCCGTCGCGGGTCGTACACGCGCACGCCACCGACGACAACGCACGCCGGATCCACACCCTCCACCGCAGCAACAGCCACGCGGGCAAGCGAGGCCACCATCCCCTCCCCGCCGTCGTCGGCAACTGTCCTCGACGACGGCACCGCAGATGCTGCCAACGCCAACGCCAACGCCAACGCCAACGCCAACGCCAACGCCAACGCTAACGCTGCCGTTGCTGGCGGGAAATTCAAACCGCGCCCGCCCCCGAGCAGTGAGAAGCGGCACCACGGCAGCGACGGACGCCACTACCTGAAGCCGGGTGAAGCGGGTGACGCGGGCGAGATGACACAGTCGCACTCGCACCTGCCCACATTTGGGTTCAAGCAGCAACAGCAGCAGCACGACGCACAGGTGGCACAGGAGCAGGCGGAGGAAGAGAGGCAGCAGCGGGAGCTTGAGAGGCAGCAACGACAGGAAGAGAAGAGACGACGCGAGGAAGACCGAAAGCGGCGAGAGCAGGAGAGGAAGCAGAAGGAGGAAGAGAGGAAGCAGAGGGAGGAAGAGAGGAAGCAGAGAGAGGAGGAGGAGGACCGCGAACGGCAGCAGAGGGAGAAGGAGAGAAAGAAGAAGGAGCGCGAGCGCATCCAACGCCAGCGAGAAAAGCTGCAGCGGCAAAAGGAGAAGGAAGAAGAGGAGAAGGAGAAGGAGCGAGAGGAGCGAGAACGGCGATTGAAGCAGCTCGACGAGCAACGCCGCACACAGCGCAAGAAGCAGCAGGAGCAGCTCAAGGCAAAGCGGCAGCAGGAGGAAGAGGAGGCGGAAGAGGCGGCGAAGGCCGCGCAGGAGGCTGCCGAAGCAGCCGCTGCAGCTCAATTGCAGCACGAGGACAGACAGTCGCCTGATGACGGTGCAGGCAAGCAGGCACCCAAGAAGCGGCCGCCACGCCCACCACCACAGGTCATCGAGCACGGTTTGGGAAGTGAAGACGATGGCGTGGCCGGCGCCACCACCACCGCCACCGCCACCGCGAATGCCACGACTGCCGCTTCGTCCAGTGCCGTTGCAGAGGCCGATGCTTCGCACGGTGCTGTGGACGAGAGTGCGCTGTCGGTGGCGTCTGGCATGCCGTCCACCAACGCCACACCGCGCAAGCAGCAGCGGAGCGTGGCTGCGCGAACGGCGGCGGGCGCGTCGAGCGTGTCACGGACACGCGGGCGAACACGTACGGCGGCACGCTCTGCACGCATGGGCGGGGCAAAGGCGTCAACAAACGACCCGTACCTGGTGGACGTGGACACGCTGGACGCGCCGGGCATGTCGGCGGACGCGGCGTGGAAGAAGGCGCGGGCGTCGCTGCAGAAGGGCGACACGCAGGAGCTGTGGATGGAGAAGTGCGAGGGCCTGGCCATGCTGCGGCGCCTCACGCTGCACGAGCCCGAGTTTGTGGTGTCGGTGCTGGGTGAAGCCGTGCGCGCGGTGCTGCAGGAGGTGAAGAACCTCCGCTCGTCTGTGTCGCGCCTGGCCATCCTCGCATGCGGCGACATGTGCCGGCTGCTGGGCAAGCCGATGGAGAAGCACGCGGACGACCTGGTGGCCGCGGTGCTTGTGAAGGCCGGCGCAGAGGCAAGCGTGTTCATCAAGGAGGACGCAGAGGCTGCGCTGATGAGCGTGGTGGACTCGCTGTCGCCATTCAAGGTCGTTGCCGCGCTGCTGCCAAACACGGAGCACAAGAACAAGGAGGTTCGACGCATGAGCTCGCGGCTGTTGATGCCGGCGCTGGAGACGGCGGGCCCCAAGATGCTCTCACACCGGGAAGCGCCGCACCTGCTGCGGAGAATGGCCAAGCTGGTCTCGGACGGGGACCAGGAGACGCGGTACAACGCGCGGCTGCTGACCAACGAGCTCATGGGGTTTGACGACTGCGAGAAGGCGATTCAGCGGCACCTGGAGGGCCGGCCGCAGCGCGATCTCCTGTCTGCGTGTGACATGATCCGCAAGAAGGGCGTTGGGCAGCCGCCCATGGCCGCCACGCACCGCGGCACCACCAACCTCGGCAACACCACGCGCGGCGCGGCACGGTCCCGCAAGTCGTCGCAGTCGTCCAACACCAGCGGCACGGCAACGCCGAGCGTCCCTGCCAGCGCCAACGTGTCCACCATGTCTGCCGGTGGCGCGCGCACGCCGGGCGGGTCCATCTCTGCCACGCCGCGGCGCACGTCACGGGCAGCGCGCACCAAGTCCTCCGCCGTGCAGGCTGCGACGCCCTTCAAGACGGCGGGTGGGGATGACCTGCTCAAGGTGCTGGGCAAGGATATGGCCTCGTCGGACTGGAAGACGCGGGAAAAGGCCATCGGCAAGCTGCAGGAGCTGGTGCTGGGGTCGCCGGGGAAATTTGTTGGGTCGGCGACGAACGTGTTCTTTGACTTCGTGCCGCGGCTCCAGGACAGCAACAGCAAGGTGAACGTGGCTGCGCTCAAGTCGCTGGTGCAGATGCTGCCCCTGCTGCCGGATGCGCTGGACATGGTCATGTCGGAGCTGCTGTCGTCGCTGTTTCTGGGCCTGGCGTCGAAGAACGGCACCATCAAGGGGCTGACGCAGGATGCGGTGCACCTGCTGGTCATCACCATTAACCCCGCGCATGTGGCGCAGCCGTTTATGACCACCATGCAGTCGTCCAACAGCGTGGTGAAGGAGGCGCTTGTGCCGCACCTCGTTGGCTTCATCCCCAGGTGCGCCGATGCCAGCACGAAGACGCTGCAGCGGTATGTTGTTGCGGGCTGCATCAAGCTCATGCGCGATAACAAGCTGAGCCAGAAGCTTGCGCCCGTGTGGTCTGCGCTCTACGCGGTGCTTGGCGATGCCATGTACAAGCCCAAGGCGTTTACGCCGGCACTCACGTCCCAGGTGCAGTCTCTCATCTCCTAAGCGTTCGCAGGAGCTGCTTGGTTGGAGGTGGCTGCTGCTTGCGCTGTGGGAAACGGGGCACACTTGCCGTGCTTGTGCTTGTGCTTGTGCTTGTGTTTGTGCTCGTGCACTGCTTGTGTGCTTGTGCTCGCACTGCATGATGGTAGATCGATAGTGTGGGGGACGGGGAGGGGACAGAGACAGAGAGCGAGAGAGAGAGAGAGGGGGGGGGGGAGAATGGCCTTTTTGGCCAGAGGTGGCTCGTTGTTTGGGATTGTGAGTGCCAGTGCATTTCTGCTGCCTTTTGTTTGTGCATAATCATAACCAAGTTGACCCTGCTTCTATTTCGTCTGGGTCTGCGCCCTGCTTTTGTGCTGTGTACATACTCCTCCTTTAAGTGGAGCCAGACATTGAGCGTGGTTGCTCTGGACAACCAACACCAATAGATACATCTGCGAACCCACACGAAGTTTGGCCATGCGCTGTGTTGTTTGGTGTGGGGTTGTTTGTTGTTTATACGAATTTGCGTTTGTGTGACGAGCGAGGAGCTGCATCAGGATTGGGATGATGCTAACGGAGTTCACATGCGTGTACACGTGCAGAGGACATGTGTGTGTGCACGAGATTCAGTTGGTGCACACAACAACAAGAACAACAAAGAACAACAACAACAACAAAAGTTGGCGGCGCAGCTACCATCGATAATTGGTGAATATCTTGGTGATGATGCTGTGACTGCGATTTGCGTTGCTGCCAACCAAAATTCTAGCCAAAAAAATAAACTGCCAACCAACACCCCACTCAAATCCACCGAACAAGACAGACAGCGACGACGCGATACAATGGCTGAACACGTCGCACAGCAGCCAGCGCCGCAGCAGCAGCAGCAGCAAGGGGAGGGTGGGTTGTCGCAGCACCAGCTCTCTGCCGTGCGTCCAGGTATGATGCCTTCAGGGACCCCGTACTCCTCGTCGGCTGTGCCGCAGTCCCACCTGCAGCAGCTGCAGCAACAAGAGCAACAAGAGCAACAGCAGCAACAGCAGCATACACAGCATGCGAGAACACAGCCACCAACACAGCCAGCACAGCAATCTGCGCAGCAGGACCAGGGCGCCCACAGCTCTGCTGCAACGGCACCACCAAAGGAAGCAGACGCGGATGCGGAAATTAAGGCCAGCATCGAGAAGTTCAAGGAAGACCCAGCTCTTGTCTTTGAGCTGGCGCTGCTCTTCTACAGAACAAGTCAGCCACATACATGCCTGTGTTCCCGTGTGTCTTCCCGTGTATGTTTGTGTGTGCATGAGTGTGCTTAAGCGGCTGGTTGTCAGCATGTTTGTGAGCTGTGTGTGCGTGCGTGTGTGTGTGCGTGTGTGCGTGTGTGCGTGTTGTGACCTCTCGCGCGCGCAGTCTCTCCCTCTGTATGTGTACATGCGTGAACCGGCCACTCCACACCACCCATCCTCACTCCAACTCACACCACACGATGACACCCACACATCGCTCTTGCCCCTCAAAGACAAAGGCAACTTGAACTTTGATTACGACACCAAGATTGATCTCGCTGCCCTCTACAAACAGTCGACGATTGGCCCGTACGTCTCCTCGCGCCTTTGTGCGTGTGCGTGTTGTTT